CATGTGTGGAATGAGAATTGGGATGATCCAACCAACAGCACACATGGGCTACTCTGATAAGAAAACTAATGAAATCTAATCTAATTGTATTAGTCACATGCTTCGTAAACAACAGGTGTAGACTAACAGTGAAATGTTTACTTGATTTCTTGCTTTATGATCAACATTGACATCATGAGAAAGTGATGGGGGTAAAGTCATCAACATAACAAAGCATTCAGGCAGGTAGCTTAGTGGTTAAGAGCGTTGTGCCAGTAACCGCTCTGGATAAGAGTGTCTGCTAAATGACCAATATATATATGACCATATATTACAATCTTGATTTGTTGCCTGAGTATGGCAAGTGGGTATGTTCCACCATTTAAGTTGTACAACATTAAAGGTCAAGAACAGTCAAAATCATGTTTTTCATGAAATTGGATGATATGGAACAAACAGGGGGGGAAGGTTCATCATCATGTAGAGCTGCTGCTTATGCTGTCTGACAAAATCACTATTTTAGTAGTTCTTCAAAGTAAATAAGGCATACTTTTATGACAGCTAAATACAAACTATCAATCACTTAGATCATGTATTTTCAGGTACAGATGTATTTTTAAATTTTATTTTTTTCACCTTTATTTAACCAGGTAAGCCAGTTGAGAACAAGTTCTCATTTACAACTGCGACCTGGCCAAGATAAAGCAAAGCAGTGCGATAAAAACAACAAAGAGTTACATATGGGGTAAAAAACATAAAGTCAAAAATACAACAGAAAATATATATACAGTGTGTGCAAATGTAGCAAGTTATGGAGGTAAGGCAATAAATAGGCTATAGTGCAACATAATTACAATAGTATTAACACTGGAATGCTAGATGTGCAAGAGATTATGTGCAAATAGAGATACTGGGGTGCAAAAGAGCAAAATAAATAACAATATAGGGATGAGGTAGTTGGGTGGGCTAATTTCAGATGGGCTGTGTACAGGTGCAGTGATCGGTAAGGTGCTCTGACAACTGATGCTTAAAGTTAGTGAGGGAGATAAGAGTCTCCAGCTTCAGAGATTTTTGCAATTCGTTCCAGTCATTGGCAGCAGAGAACTGGAAGGAATGGCGGCCAAAGGAGGTGTTGGCTTTGGGAATGACCAGTGAGATATACCTGCTGGAGCGCAGACTACGGGTGGGTGCTGCTATGGTGACCAATGAGTGAGATACCTCGTATGGTGAGATACCTCGTGAAGCAATGGTTTTCTATCCCTCTCGATAGCACATTCTTCTGTCTCATCCCTCCATGTCTGCCCGACACTAAGCTAACATAGTAGCAGGCGTAAAATAAACACACCGGCACACAATGGATTATGGTCATTGTAGTTAAATACCACATTTTCTGTGCTAAACTATGTAGAATTTTGTCCTGTTGGAAACTACAACTCCCTACTACATCGCACAGTTCGGGCTTGATCTGATTTATCTCTAGAAAACTATGCATGGTGCGCATTGAGCTCACAGAAAAAAACTGAAGGAAATGGAATTCAAATAATTGAAGAGACATCGGTCAATTAGTTGTTTAAAAACCGAAAAATAACCAACATTTCGTTAATCATTCAGGACTAATATGCAGAAAAATATACATTTTTTAAACTACGAGTTGAGTAATAGGGCCTCCCTGGGGTCAACTCCCAGGCATCCAACGGCCGTGCCGGATCCATAGGCGGGTCAATGCCCAGGTGTCACGGCGTGGAGGTGAGGGGGCCTTTATTGGCCCTCATTGCCTGTGCGCCTGGGTCGTGAGTTTGGCATGAGGGGTTTACATTGGTTCCTCTGATGTGGCTGCAGGCTGACTTATTGCACAGTGTAAAAGTTGCTTTCGGATTCAATGTTGGTTGAGAAGTTGGCTTGCCAAGCTGATGCGAAGCTGGGTGCTGCAAAATGATGGCTTTGTCATGTTACGAGGCGCTCAAGCTTTTCAAACCTTTGCATACGTCCCCCAGCCCATGAGGAGTGAACCAGCCATGCACAGGACCTCCATCGACAATTCGGGAGAAAAGGGTTGATGACAGACACAGAAGCTGATGACAGAGATATTATGTGGCTTATTGAGAAAACTCAATCTGATTGGTTGGCCTTGCCATTGGGTATTTTAACCCGGCTTTTCGATAGTGCTACTATTAAATTTTTTACACTCCCCAATTTTTGGCATCGTGTCTCACGCGGCACTCCTCATGTTAGTGTGGAGGTAGTGCTTGCTAGCTGTCCAACTCACTTTGTACACAAATGGCTTTGAATGGGCTAACTATTGTCATGCAGTGTTTAGTTATTCTGACAAATTTCCCACTGACAACTTGGCCATTCGAGGGGCCAGAATGGAGGTCGTGGGTTGCAGGGTTTACACGTGGTCTGCGTTTTGTGAGAACGGTTGGACGTACTGCCAAATTCCTGCTGACTGCAGGAATGTCCACCTGAGCTGCTGCCAGATAATTGAATGTTCAGTTCTCTACCATAAGCCGCCTCCAACGTTTTTTTTAGAGAATTTGGCAGTACGTCCAACCGGTCTCACAACCGCAGACCACGTGTAACCACGCCAGCCCAGGACCTCCACATCTGGCTTCTTCACCTGCGGGATCATCTGAGACCAGCCACACAGACAGCTGATGAAACAGAGGAGTATTTATGTCTGTATAAAGCCCTTTTGTTGGGAAAAACTCAATTCTGATTGGCTTGGCCTTGCTCCCCAGTGGGTGGGCCAGTCTCCCAAGTGGGTGTGGCTATGCCCTCCCAGGCCCACCCATGTCTGCGCCCCTGCCCAGTCATGTGAAATCCATAGATTAGGGCCTAATGAATGTATTTCAATTTACTGATTTCCTTATATGAACTGTAACTCAGCTAAATCTTTGAAATTGTTGCATGTAGCGTTTATTATTTTTGTTCAGTATAATTATACTTTCCTGTGGATATATTCTCACATTCCTACCTGCAAAAGGAAAAACCACACGGACAACCGGCAAAGTAAGTGAAAATATAATTGTATTCAACATTCTGGCTTGTAGAGGTCGTCAGAGGAAACTTTCCTGATCCAAACGCTCATTTTTGCCCTACGTAGAATTCAATGCAATTCAACGTCGGGTCTTCAGGCGAGATAAGCACATTCTGCTGCTCTGCAATAATATGAAAGCAATTGGACAAAAATACTAAAGAAAACATCGAAATGGTTTTAATATCAACAAAGCTGGTTCGAGATCTTAGATCGTTATCACAAAAATTGTAAGCCCAGCGTAGAACGTTATACCGAAAAATATATAGTCACCTTTATATACCAAAACATATATAGTGAACTTTATATAGCCCTATTTCCCATATTATTTTTATCAAGTCACGGTGGCCGAGAGGTTAAGGCGTTGGACTCGAAATCCAATGGGGTTTCCCCGCACAGGTTCGAATCCTGTTCGTGACGTATTTTTTTTAAATAGAGAAAACAGTATCTTTGACTATTGCTTATTAATTTCATTTTGAGATGTGGCTTACCCAAACCGAACACATATATTTAACAGAGTAAATGCCGGTCATTTGGCATACCGAGCAGATCACAACAGTGTCATAACCAAGAAAGAAAAGATGAACTACAGGGTAAATTGGATATATATATATATAATTTAACATTATAGCATAGGTACACAGCACACTTGATAACACTACTGTACAGTGTGATACAATGTGACAAGCACTGTAAAAAGAACCTCACAAGTTATCTTTTGTCGCGTGTCCGTCTGGATACATCTTTAAAGATAGCGTATTGCAAAAGTCAGTAATGTATTGCTATGGACCACATTCTGCACTTCTAGATCAGCCAAAGCTAATAAGTCGTTAGATTTGTGATTTAGAAGAAATTAAACAAAGGGTTTACAATAAATCGGGGGAGGAAATTAAACAAAGGGTTTACAATAAATCGGGGGAGGGGGTATAGTCAGTGATTCTTTATGGCTTTGAAACGGAAAGAAAAATACCCTCCCGTGCACCCCTTTGTGAGCAGTAAAATGGAATGGTCGGGTGTATTTATTCGACCGGCGAAACACGTTGACGTAGTTTGGGGACATTGTTTGAAGAGCAGGGGGAAGTGTGCCACAGTTGTCTAGGTTTAAAATTGCGGGGAATTTCTATAGACATAATTCAAGTCTAATAACTAGCAACACTTGCATTTACGTTTATCAAAGAATTAGATATAGCGGCCATGTATTAGCAAAACGTACGAGTTTGTGTTGCAACAAAGCTGAAGTTGGACAGCTAGCTAGCTAGCTAGCGCTACTTTCTCCATCAGACTAGACATGAGTGTTAACGTTAGCTATAATTTCTAATTGAGCCAAAATCAGTCTTGATCGCTGTCTAAGTAGCTAGCTAGTTCAAGTAAAGCACAAGTCTTGAGTAGTTTTGTGAAAGCTCACAATTGTGAGAATATTCAGGCTAACGTTACTACTGTAGCTAGTTAGCACCAGACTCATGAGGAAAGAGCACTGAATTGTCAGGCGCTAAAAAATTTTTGGCTAACAGCTTTGTCGTTCATATTTTTTTTATTCACCATAAACTGGTGTTTTAGATTAATACTTAGCACAGCAAGCATATCGTGTAATGTAGTTGGCTAGCTTTATGCGGTAAAATGTGTTACGTTTAACTAAGATGGTTCTAGCAGGAAGTACAGTAACCTTAAGAGAATAGCTTGTTAGAAAATGGAGTAAAGCAGCTACAGTAGTCCATCAATTGAAAAGCAAAAGTAACGTTAGCTTATTAACCTCTTGGAGGCTAGCTTTATAAATCGAGAAACCCACATCTCCTTTGTTTCAGGGTGTGGCAAAAACCTTGTTTAAATAACTTTGTATAGGCCGCTAGCAAGTTATGACAATCCCTTTATGTTGAAAACTAACGTTAGCTAGCTAGTTTGCTGCTAGCTACCGACCGAATGCTGCTACCTATTGCATAGCTTCCTAGCCAGCTTGATAGCGTGGCACTTTCCCAACTGCATCCTAAAGATGTCGAACGCCATAAACGAAGGTCTGTTCTTGATAAAAGACGTGAAGCCTGGATCGAAAAATTTAAATATCGTATTCATTGTTTTGGAAATAGGTAAGTTGGTGGAGGTAACAATGTCGTGTTTCTCGTGTCATGTCAACCGAGATTCGTTACCGTTTTCTTAAAGGGCCAGATGAACAATTGAGTCGATTGTGCAACTTGAGTGCAAACATCTAATCGTGAGGTTTTTTTAAATGCCTCTGCAAGTATTGCATACAATTGCCTTTTTATTTTTTTGTGCTTTTGCTTTGCACGTGTCATGTTCTGACAGGGTGCCATATTACACCTATGAGGACTTGGTCACCCACCACAAAGGCTATGTAGAAGAGCTATGTTTATTGAATTGCATTGCTATAGGGATAACTTCACTTGATCTTGTGTTAGGACGGGTCACCAAGACGAAGGATGGTCATGAGGTGCGCTCCTGCAAGGTGGCAGACAAGAGTGGAAGCATCGCCATCTCTGTGTGGGACGAGCTGGGAAGCCTCATTCAGCCTGGGGACATTATCCGGCTGACCAGAGGGTATTGATTCCCCCCTTCAATGAAGCCTTACTGCAGTGATTCTCATCTCTGGCATTGGCTACCCCCAAGGTTGCACATTTTGGTTCTAGCCAAGCACAATAACATCTGATTTAATTACTCATTAAGCCATTTGATTAGTTAAATCAGGTGTGCTTTTACTGGACTAGAACAGAAATGCAACATTGTCAGAACCCGAGAATTGGAGATGAGAAACACTGCATAACAGGTAGAGGCGTTGACTGATATGAGCAGTTAGTATATGGAGGATGCACTCCCCTGACCACCTGCACAGGCTTACCATTGATTCTGTTATGACAATAATATTTGAAAGGTGAATAGAAGTATGGCAAAATGTGTGTTAGTAAAAAAACAATGCTCATGAAAACCCATGAGCTATTTTCCCCTCTGGAATATAATTCAAATTCATTTTTCTGAAATGAGTAGAAATGGAACCGAGCCCAACCCCAGTACTTTGTTAGGTAGATGCAGTATCTTGGCTTATCTCGACTTTCCTCCGTCTCTACAGCTACGCCTCCATGTGGAAGGGCTGCCTGACCCTGTACACTGGAAGAGGTGGAGACCTGCAGAAGATCGGAGAGTGAGTACAGTCTATTTATACCACCAGGAACTTCCTGTACTTCACGGGAATTCAGCTGGCCACTTGCCACCCTCTTTCTGATTAATGGTGCATAAAAGCAGAGAACACTAGAAGTGAAAACTAAGTGGTTAGGGTAGTATTGATGACTCATGTTGAAAAAGTGGTAGTGTAGGAGTCTCATACCAAGAAAAGCAGAAAATACCAACAATGCTATCATGGTATGGGTAGCATTCAACAGGCCTGAAATTTGAAGCAATTTTTATTTTTAAAGAAAATGTATCTTAACTCGTCCAATAAGAATGCTTGTTTTTCAAAAATATTGTCTGAAAAACGTACTGATGTGCAACCCCACTGCCCCTCCACTATTGTCAACATGTCTTGTTCTATCAAACAAAACATGTCTGTCTGTTCTTACGTCTATCTACAGTAGTTGAGCAACAGAGGAATCACATTTAGTTATAGAATACACAAGGTTATATTGCTTTGAAATAGGGTTGGCGATATTACGATAGCATCGTCTGATGATGACGACATCGTAATGTGACGGAAGATGGTTTAGTGTATTTGACTTGAGTCACGCAGTACATTTTTGTCTTGCAGGGCAGCACCAAGTGACATTCTGAGTAATTGCCTATTCCTATTTGCAATAGCCTATTTCAATAAATGTTATATAGCCTGCAGAATATAAAAGGAATGTAGTCCAGATGGAACAGAGAATTCCACCAAATCAGCGCAGAATGTCCAGTTTTATAACGCACTCTTTAACTATCTTGTGTCTAGCTGTTTAAAAAAACATAGCCTATATTCCATTCTCTCTCCATTCGATAGGCTATGAATATGACTGAAGGCTACGCTTCATCGTTTTATGCATGGCTTTCTCCCGATCAAACAATGAATGTAACGGAGTTTCATCTTAAAGTTTTTTGAATAGCCTAAAAACGTAAGGTAGGACTAATAACAAGAAAACAAACCATATCAATAGCCTATTGAAAAAGCTAATGACCAGTTTAATGAAGTTTAACCTTATTATGAAATAAATTATCCATGCGAGGTTGAAACTACATTGGCCAATTACTTATCCTCCTACTAGGCCTATTATAAAAGCTTGAAGACAAGTTTAAGTTATGAACAGTAGCTTATTTCCCAAGTATTGTAGCCTACGAAAGTGTTGTCCTAAAGTTGTTGTGGCTTTCAAAAATAACAAGAATTAAAGTCTGTAACCTAAGCCTAGGCATAGGCTATTCTCAAGCACAGCTTTGGGATGGAACAAACAATATTATTTATATTTTGAGGCAAATAAACAATTATTATCCAGTTCTGAAGACTGTTGACTACTTCTGTCCCGCTCATGATGTAGGCCTAAAACCTAGCTCACTACGGTAAGAAAGCCAGTTCTTCGTCAGTCACTGCTCCATCATGTGCACGCCACAGACACACAAAACTGTTCTGCTCCTCCACCAAAAAGGAACATTAGAAAATATGTGCCATTGCCTGCACTGCCCATGCTTTCAACCACATTGACTTATGTCATGATTCGTCCAGTTGCATTAGGTTTCGCAATATAGCCCAACTGTCGTTTTAGAAGTTATTTTCTTCCAACTAAAAAATAAATACATTGAGGGGTGGCCAATCGGGGCGATGGCATCGTATATCACAACGTTCTTTTGGGTATATAATCATGATAGGACAAAGGTTGATATCGCCAAACCCTGCTTTGAAATATAGGTTTCATGTATACTGAACAAAAATATAAACGCAACGTGATGTGTTGGTTTCATGAGCTGAAATAAAAGGTCCCTGAAATTTTCCATACGGACAAAAAGCTTATTTCTCTCCAATTCTGTGCACAAATTAGTTTACATCCCAGTTAGTGAGCATTTCTCCTTTACCAAGATAATCCAGCCACCTGACAGGTGTGGCATATTAAGAAGCTGAATAAACAGCATGATCATTACACAGGTGCACCTTGTGCTGGGGACAATAAAAGGCCACTCTAAAATGTGCAGTTTTGTCACACAATGCCACAGATGTCTCAAGTTTTGTCCACCAGAGCTGTTGCCAGAGAATTGAATGTTAATTTCTCTACCATAAGCCGCCTCCAACGTCATTGTAGAGAATTTGGCAGTACGTCCAACCGGCCTCACACCGCAGACCACGTGTAACCACGCCAGCCCAGGACCTCCACATCTGGCTTCTTCACCTGCGGGATTGTCTGAGACCAGCCACCCGGACAGCTGATGAAACTGAGGAGTATTTCTGTCTGTAATAAAGCCCTTTTGTAGGAAAAAACTCATTCTGATTGGCTGGGCCTGGGTCCCCAGTGGGTGGGCCTGGCTACCCAGTGGGTGGGCCTATGCCCTCCCAGCCCACCCATGACTGCTCCCCTGCCCAGTCATGAGAAATCCATAGATTGGGGCCTAATGAATTTAAACTGACTGATTTCCGTATATAAACTGTAACTCAGTAAAATCGTTGAAATAGTTGCGTTTGTTTTTTGTTCAGAATAGTTTCAAGCTGGCTACATAGATTGTTTTAATGCTTTTTGGGACAAGTTGATGCATGCAACATTTACTTGAATGTGCCAGGTTGCGTTTAAATATCAATGACATGCATGCAGTACTAACGCACAGGGTTAATGTTCATGACATTCACATAATGGATTCCCTCCCATAGGTTTTGCATGGTGTATTCCGAAGTGCCTAACTTCAGTGAGCCCAACCCAGATCTGCTAGCCCAGAACAACCAGCAGACCAAGACTGTAAGTACCGCTACCCTAGCCTGGTCCCAGATCTGTTTGTGCTGTCTTGCCAACTCCTATGGGCGTTGTTATGCCAAAAATGTTGGCTATCCAGCACAAACAGCTCTGTGACCAGGCTACCGGTACCCCACCTCCATCCTCTAAACCAGGCGATACTGGCCCTCAGGGGCTTGTGTGTGCTGGTTCTCTCTTTTACTTGACATGGAATTGATACAGCCATGTGAGATTGCTCAAGAGGTTTGGTTATTTAAAAATGAAAAGCTGAAATGTTTTTATTCAATAAGTATTCAACCCCTTTGTCATGGCATGCCTAAATAAGTTCAGGAGTAAAATATTTCTTAACAAGTCACATAAGTTGCATGGACATACATTGTGTGCAATAATAGTGTTTTAACATTATTTTTGAATGACTACCTAATCTCTGTACCCCACACTTAGTGATCTGTAATGTCCCTCAGTCGAGCAGTGAATTTCAAACACAGATTCTACCATATAGACCAGGGAGGTTTTGCAAAGAGTGGCACCTATTGGGAGATGGGTAAAAAAAAAAGAAAATATATTGAATATCCCTTTGAGCATGGTGAAATTATAAATTACACTTTAGATGGTGTATCAATACACCCAGTCACCACAAAGATACAGGCGTCCTTCCTAACTCAGTTGCCAGAGAGGATGGAAACCGCTCAGGGATTTCACCATGAGGCCAATGGTGATTTTAAAACAGTTACAGAGTTTAATGGCTGTGATAAGACAAAACTGAGGGTGGATCAACATTGTATTTACTCCACAATACTAACCTAATTGACAGAGTGAAAACAAGGAAGCCTGTATAGAATACAAATATTCCAAAACATGGATCCTGTTTGCAATAAGGCACTGAAATAAAACTGCAAAAAATGTGGCAAAGAAATTAACTTTGTCTTGAATAGAAAGCGTTATGTTTTGAGGCAAACACAACACAGTACCACTTTTCATATTTTCAAGCGTGGTGGCTGCATCATGTTATGGGTATGCTTGTCATCGGCAAAGACGAGAGTTTTTTTATGATAAAAATAAACGGAGTAGCGCTAATCACAGGCAAAATCCTGGTTATCTGCTTTCCAACACCCTGGGAGACAAATTCACCTTTAAGAAGGACAATAACCTAAAACACAAGGCGAAATATACACTGGCGTTGCTTACCAAGACGATATTGAATGTCCCTGAGTGGCCTAGTTACAGTTTTGACTGAAATTGTCTTGAAAATCGGTCTAGCAATTATCAACAACCAACTTGACAGAGCATAAAGAATTGTAAAAAGAATCATGTGCAAATATTGTACAATCCAGGTGTGCAAAGCTCTTAGACTTACACAGAATGACTCATCACAACACACACCTGATCCTGAACAGAGGTGAGGTGTCATGGCAGACTGAACAGAGGTACAGAATTGCTCAAGATAAAAACGTAATATTCAATATCTGTAAGTTTGACTAAATATTAGCACTTCACATACTCGTGGGCAATAACCTTCAATCTGGATAAAACAAATTATAAGGCTAGAGAAATGTATCAACCAATACAATCAACACCCAAACATGTTGTAGAGTAAGCATGGAGAACCATTCCCCAAAAGAAAACGAGACTCCTCGACGGACACAGACGATTTATGCTTTTCACCAGCGGGAATGGAAAGCTGACTTGCTAAAGACGATAAATGATAAACTGGGCATACTTGAACTAGTCAGTAAAGATATATTAAAGGAGTTGAAAGCTGCGACAATGGAGAAGGAAACAAACAAGCTAAAAGGTAGTCTATAACGATTGAAACGGATGTTAAATAACTTAAAGGAGAGCATGTTTCTGAGAGAATTCTTACTTGATTGAGTAGATCTAAGAGAAAAGCTGGTACTTACTGGTATCAAAGAAAAAGAGGGTGAAGGTCCTGAGTGTTGTGAAATAATTATTTCTTACAGCGCTACAGGTCACAGGCGATACTGTCGACAAACTCGAACGTGTACACCATTTCGGACAGAGATATGAGTGCCCAATCGTTGCCAAATTTTGCATTCTTTAAAGAAAAAATAATAACTTGCCGGCATGAATGATCAGTTCCTGAAGGAAATTGCAGAACGGTGTAAAGGTCTGTACCCACTCTTCAAGGTGAATAGATTAAAAGGGAAACGTGTAGCTCTCGTAGTCGATAAACTGTATATTGATAAATTGTTCCGAGACACCAAGACTACTCCATGGCTATTCTAAATATTACAAAATTCCCTATAGTCATTGAATAATGGAACACCCAATATTATCCATGGTAGTGGTTGTAAAAAAGGAAAACAATAAAATACAACAATTGATAAAGTAAACTACAACTACACTATACCATTCAATATTGTAAAATAATTAGTATTTGACTTTCTATTTATAGTATTTTATAAATAAATAAGACAGCATTAGAAAGGATAATTATTGAAATAATACATCTTCAAATATAAGGAACTGGAACACAAAAGTACTCAAAAGCCTGAAATTAGGTAGGAGTCAACATGGTAGGGATAAAAATACAGCAGAGGACATAGAAGGCACAGTATGTGTGGGTGTATTGTGATGGAAGGTGGGGTGTGTTTTTTGTGTTTTGGAGAAGTGTGGAGTTAAGTGAGTGAAGAAGAAATTGTTGCAAATGTCAGAGCCCGTGTGTGTCTGCGAGCAGGAGTTGTGACGGAGAGCTTTCAATTTCGTGCAGATATGGGATATACATTTAAAAAATAAATTATAAATATAGTTCATTTATTGTGCTATCATGGTGGAAAGGTCCCCAACCCTATACCCTAGACACCCACCTGAGTGACCCATACACTAAGGAGAAGTCCTTATTGGTTTTATAGGCCTACTGTAAGTAGCCTATACGCAGCCAAAACAGAAAGATTAATGCGGTCAGAGACTCACTAAAGCGGCACCGCCCCCACAAGACTCTGAGCCTGCCTGGCAGAGTTGGTCCTACAAAGCCCCCGGATGGGTGAGCATAATATACAAGGATTTTCTCAAAGCTGCTAATGAGAACCTTGACCTTGTATCTAGCCGGTGGGGATTCCGGTGGGGTGTCCCCACCCAGGTAGTGGCAGTGCTGGCAACACTAGCTGCAGTAACCCATGGGGAGGGGGTCACACTCGGACAATAAGCGAGGTGGCACATTATTGTCACCCTGGTGGCAGAAAATAATCAAAGGTCTGACTGCAAAGAGATGCTTGGGAAAATGGTGACAAAAGGGGACCAGCATGTGTTTCATGGGAAGGGGGTGTACCTGATCTCTAACAGCTAGGACTAGACATTGGTTAATCAAATCGTCCCATTTTGCAAAATGTTGCATGCCTTCTCAAACAGCTACAACTGTATATGCATTTGCACATCAAGTCCTTTCTTGAGTTGGTCTCGGGGATGGCACAACTGTAGAACATCTGAGCTTGTGGTTGGTTGTAGGGGAAGGGTGGGGAGTGTGTGTTTTTATCCCACATATGTTGCAATGGGGTAAAGATGTTAGGGGCAATATAGGATGAATCACAATTGTTTTCTAAAATGATAATTGCTTGCCAAAAATGTAATTTTTGTAATGGCAATCCTGGTTATAGGTAACAATCATTCGCATGAACTGCCTACATTATTACACATATTATTAGTTAGTTGTGGAAATTAAGATACGAAAGCTTTTTTAATTTGTGTATATTTTTTGAAAATAACTGTATATAATACCACCGAGGTGAGGGCATTGGAAATGCTTTTGCCGGTTGATCTGCTTCTGTTCTGTGGGTGAAGGATGGGTCCCGGTCTCTCGGAGGGCCCTGGGGGGTGGTCTGCCGGGCACTTGGATGACATCCCAACTTGGGATGGGGAGGTTTTAGCGGGTGGAATAGTGGAGAACAATTGGATGTTTACATAGTAGCAATGCAAATATCATCATACAGTTGAAGTCGGAAGTTTACATACACTTACAGTGGGGGGAAAAAAGTATTTAGTCAGCCACCAATTGTGCAAGTTCTCCCACTTAAAAAGATGAGAGGCCTGTAATTTTCATCATAGGTACACGTCAACTATGACAGACAAAATGAGAAAACAAAATCCAGAAAATCACATTGTAGGATTTTTAATGAATTTATTTGCAAATTATGGTGGAAAATAAGTATTTGGTCAATAACAAAAGTTTCTCAATACTTTGTTATATACCCTTTGTTGGCAATGACACAGGTCAAACGTTTTCTGTAAGTCTTCACAAGGTTTTCACACACTGTTGCTGGTATTTTGGCCCATTCCTCCATGCAGATCTCCTCTAGAGCAGTGATGTTTTGGGGCTGTCGCTGGGCAACACAGACTTTCAACTCCCTCCAAAGATTTTCTATGGGGTTGAGATCTGGAGACTGGCTAGGCCACTCCAGGACCTTGAAATGCTTCTTACGAAGCCACTCCTTCGTTGCCCGGGCGGTGTGTTTGGGATCATTGTCATGCTGAAAGACCCAACCACGTTTCATCTTCAATGCCCTTGCTGATGGAAGGAGGTTTTCACTCAAAATCTCACGATACATGGCCCCATTCATTCTTTCCTTTACACGGATCAGTCGTCCTGGTCCCTTTGCAGAAAAACTGCCCCAAAGCATGATGTTTCCACTCCCATCCTTCACAGTAGGTATGGTGTTCTTTGGATGCAACTCAGCATTCTTTGTCCTCCAAACACGACGAGTTGAGTTTTTACCAAAAAGTTCTATTTTGGTTTCATCTGACCATATGACATTCTCCCAATCCTCTTCTGGATCATCCAAATGCACTCTAGCAAACTTCAGACGGGCCTGGACATGTACTGGCTTAAGCAGGGGGACACGTCTGGCACTGCAGGATTTGAGTCCCTGGCGGCGTAGTGTGTTACTGATGGTAGGCTTTGTTACTTTGGTCCCAGCTCTCTGCAGGTCATTCACTAGGTCCCCCCGTGTGGTTCTGGGATTTTTGCTCACCGTTCTTGTGATCATTTTGACCCCACGGGGTGAGATCTTGCGTTGAGCCCCAGATCGAGGGAGATTATCAGTGGTCTTGTATGTCTTCCATTTCCTAATAATTGCTCCCACAGTTGATTTCTTCAAACCAAGCTGCTTACCTATTGCAGATTCAGTCTTCCCAGCCTGGTGCAGGTCTACAATTTTGTTTCTGGTGTCCTTTGACAGCTCTTTGGTCTAGGCCATAGTGGAGTTTGGAGTGTGACTGTTTGAGGTTGTGGACAGGTGTCTTTTATACTGATAACAAGTTCAAACAGGTGCCATTAATACAGGTAACGAGTGGAGGACAGAGGAGCCTCTTAAAGAAGAAGTTACAGGTCTGTGAGAGCCAGAAATCTTGCTTGTTTGTAGGTGACCAAATACTTATTTTCCACCATAATTTGCAAATAAATTCATAAAAAATGTGATTTTCTGGATTTTTTTTTCTTCTCAATTTGTCTGTCATAGTTGACGTGTACCTATGATGATAAATTACAGGCCTCTCATCTTTAAGTAGGAGAACTTGCACAATTGGTGGCTGACTAAATACTTTTTTCCCCCACTGTAGGGGTTTTTGGCAAGTCGGTTAGGACATATACTTTGTGTATGACAGAAGTAATTTTTCCAACAATTGTTTACAGACAGATTATTTCACTTATAATTCACTATCACAATTCCAGTGGGTCAGAAGTTTACACACACTAAGTTGACTGTGCCTTTAAACAGCTTGGATAGGCTAATTGACATCATTTGAGTCAATCCCCAGTATGAAAATGTATGCACTAACTGTAAGTCGCTCTGGATAAGAGCGTCTGCTAAATGACTTAAATGTAAATTGGAGGTGTACCTGTGGATGTATTTCAAGGCCTACCTTCAAACTCAGTGCCTCTTTGCTTGACATCATGGGAAAATCAAAAGAAATAGTATGCCAGCATAAACACCATGGGACCACGCAGCCGTCATATCGCTCAGGAAGGAGAAGCGTTCTGTCTCCTAGAGATGAACGTACTTTGCGAAAAGTGCAAATCAATCCCAGAACAACAGCAAAGGACCTTGTGAAGATACTGGAGGAAACGGGTACAAAAGTATCTATATCCACAGTAAAACAAGTCCTACATCAACATAACCTGAAAGGCCGCTCAGCAAGGAAGAAGCCACTGCTCCAAAACCGCCATAAAGAAGCCAGACTACGGATTGCAACTGCACATGGGGACAAAGATCTTACTTTTTGGAGAAATGTCCTCTGGTCTGATGAAACAAAAGTAGAACTGTTTGCCCATAATGACCATCGTTATGTTTGGAGGAAAAAGGGGGTTGCTTGCAAGCCGAAGAACACCATCCCAACCGTGAAGGACGGGGGTGGTAGCATCATGCTGTGGGGGTGCTTTGCTGCAGGATGGACTGGTGCACTTCACAAAATAGATGGCATCATGAGGAAGGAAAATGATGTGGATGTATTGAAGCAACATCTCAAGACATCAGTCAGGAAGTTAAAGCTTGGTCGCAAATGGGTCTTCCAAATGGACAATGACCCCAAGCATACTTCCAAAGTTGTGGCAAAATGGCTTAAGGACAACAAAGTAAAGGATTTGGAGTGGCTATCACAAAGCCCTGACCTCAATCCTATAGAACATGTGTGGGCAGAACTGAAAAAGTGTGTGCGAGCAAGGAGGCCTACAAACCTGACTGTTACACCAGCTCTGTCAGGCGGAATGGGCCAAAATGTACCCTACTTATTGTGGAAGGCTACCTGAGACGTTTGACCCAAGTTAAACAATTTAAAGGCAATGCTACCAAATACTAATTGAGTGTCTAAACTTCTGACCCACTGGGAATGTGATGAAAGAAATAAAAGCTGAAATAAATCATTCTCACTTTATTATTCTGACATTTCACATTCTTAAAATAAAGTGGTGATCCTAACTGATCTAAGACAGGGAATTTTTACTAGGATTAAATGTCAGAGATTGTGAAAAACAGAGTTTAAATGCGTTTGGCTAAGGTGTATTTAAACTTCCGACTTCAACTGTATATGGACACACAATCATTATGGTACTTTTTAATGGTAAGTTTGCAAACATATATTATGATAAACAGTATTCAAACTTGTATGTCATTATGGTAAAATGAGTATAGCCAGTTATAATCGTAATGGCTTAGCAGATAATAAGAAAAGACGATCAGTATTTACCTGGGTAAAAGAGAAGGAATATAATATCTATCGTTTTACAGGAAACTCTTTCAACAATTTTAGATGAAGTTGGGTGGGAAAAAAGGACTGGGGGGGAACTCAAAAGGGGTGATGGTATTAATTAACAATTTTATCCACGTGGTGAGGATATTGGAAATGTAATCAAAGCCTATTGAATGATAAATTGTTTCCGCTAGGACAGAATTTTTAACTGACTTTTTCCAAAATAACATGGGTTCATCAGATCTCCTTATTGTATGGGGCACTTTTAAATGTGCCTTTTTAAAGGCCATGCAATTCAATACTCCTCTCTAAAACAAAAGCAATTAAGGTCAAAAGAGTCCATATTAACAAAGGAAATAGGACTAACAGTACAGATGGCAATAAAAACAAAAAGAAATGGAGGAACTTATTTAAGAAAGATCACGTGTAATATATTATTAAAAAATAAAGCAAACTGGATGGAATATGGGGAAAAACGCACCAAATTATTTTTTAATCCTCAACATTGAAATGTTACCAAAATGATTTACTGAAACGTATTACAAATGACGGAGTCACCGATGATTCACCAAATTATATTTTGAAAGAGAAAGCAAAGTACTTTAAGCATATGTTTTCGTTTCAGTCTTCTCCATCTTCGCTAACTGAAGTTAAAACATTTTTTTTCTTCTATTAATAATGTAAAATTAACAGCTGTACAGAGACTTGTGAAGGCCAAATTAGAGGAGGAACTTCTTGATGCAATTAAAGCCTTTTAAGTCTGGGAAAACTCCAGTGCTGGATTGAATACCAGTTGAGGTATACCAAACCTTTTTTGACTTACTCAGAGGACTGTTATTAGCATGTTTTAACCACTCATCAGATACTCAACCAGGTCTGATTTCATTATTACTGAAATAAGACCCAAGTGGTAAATATAAAGATCCAGTCCATTAAAAAAATTGGAGGTCCCTTACACTTCAGTGTTGTGATGCAAACATTCTAGCAAAATGCATATAATTAAAAAGGTATTGTCAGATATTATTCATCCTAATCAAGACAGGTTTTTTTTTACATGGACGATACATTGGATATAATATCAGACAAGTACAGGAAACAATAGAACAATCTGAAAAATCTGGGAAACCAGGCCTGGTATTCATAGCTGACTTTGAACAGGCTTTTGATAAAGTTCGACTGGGATTTATATACAGTGTGGAGAACAAGTATTTGATACACTGCCGATTTTGCAGGTTTTCCTACTTACAAAGCATGTAGAGGTCTGTAATACTTATGTCATGCAATAAAATGCAAATTAATTACTTAAATCATACAATGTGATTTTCTGGATTTTTGTTTTAGATTCCGTCTCTCACAGTTTAAGTGTACCTATGATAACAATTACAGACCTCTACATGCTTTGTAAGTAGGAAAACCTGCATAATTGGCAGTGTATCAACTACTTGTTCTCCCCACTGTATAAATGCCTCGATAATTTCAATTGGAGAATCTCCTATACAGTGGGTTAAAGTTGGAATGTAAAGTAACCCTAGGTGTAAATAATGGCTACTTCTCAGAAAGTATTAAACTATCAAGAGGAGCAAAACAAGGTTGTCCAGTATTGGTATCTATTTATGGCCATCTAAATGTTAGCTATTCAAATCAGATCCAACAATAATATGAAGGGGCTAGAAATCCAGGGCTTAAAAACAAAGTTGTCGTTGTACGCTGATGATTCAAGTTTTCTTTTAAATCCACAATTTGGATCCCTCCACAGCCTCATAGAGGATCTAGATACTTTTTATATACTGCAGTATTTGTAGTTTATTTATTTTATCAATTGTTGTATTTTATTGTTTTCCTATTTATTTATGTTTTATTACTATCCCTACCATGTATAGTGTTGGGTGTTCCATTATTCGACTCCTCTATGGGAACTTTGTAGAATTTAGAATAGCCGTGGAGTAGTCTTTGTGTCACGGCACAATTGGTTATCGATATAGAGTTTATCGACGATGAGAGCAATACGTTTCCCTTTTAATCTATTCACCTTGAAGAGTGGGTACAGAACTTTGCGCCGTTCTGCAATTTCCTTCGGGAACTGATCATTCATGCCTGTACTATATTACGTATTGGATCACAAAAAAATACAACTTTTACATTACTGTGTTTACCAATAAAAGGGTCTGACGGTGATGTGGATTTCCCGAAATAAATAAATGATCTCACTACAATACATTTTAATAAAAGTTAACAAAAATAGATAAGATCTTGCTACCATAGAAAGGAAAATGCCTGTCTAGTTGTGAAAAAAAACACCCTGAATAACTTTTTAGGCATATCCCAGTTTACCCATTTGCTTATGGCCTTGCTTACACATAGCGACCTGTTTTTAAAAAAACTATTCATAATATAAATAGGTCTGTTTAATTGTCTGGCTTGCCGTTCCAAATAAAAATGATTTTTTTTAGCTCATATAATAAAATGTATATATATTATATGAGCTAAAAAAAACATTTTTATTTGGAACGGCAAGCCAGACAATTAAACAGACCTATTTATATTATGAATTCGGAGGGCAGAAATGATTAAATATAAAAGCATTATAACTCTCACTAAAGGCTTCAGTAATACAACATTTATACTGAAATCTGAACTGGTTCTCTAGTAGAATGGCCTTTTTCTCTTTATTCAGACTACAACCTCTCTCTTTCGGTTATTTGAAAATGAAATAATCTCCAAAATATGGCCATGTTTTTTTAAACAAGCCATAGAAAGTTGGTTGCAATTTCAGTTTAATCCACCAGAAAAGACAGAACAAATAATACAACACATTTTATGGTTAAACTCAAATAGACTAATTGATAAAACTTTATTTTTTTTGGAATAAAAAAAAAAAAAAAGTATAACATTAGTAAATTATATCATAAGTAGGACTGGTGGAGTTATGTCACACACGCAGCTAACAAAAATATATGGAAATGTCTGCTCTACCCAAAATTTACAACCAACTAATTGCAGTATTACCTAACCTAACAGTATTATCCTAACTTAAGTTAGGAACTTGTCTCTCGGCCCTGCATTAAAGACCAAAATTGGCTAAAGAAAAATGTGATGGATTAAGAAAATATACCAATTGCATTTAAGGACCAAAGAATTGACAGCTGTGCCATTTTATAGATTGCAAAAATAATTGAGAGATTTTCGATCGACCAATTCCATGGCATATGGTTTATAAACGGATACGCAAAACCTAGAATTTGTCTATTTTAAATGATTATACAAAATTCTTGCAACCAATAGAACGTTTTGTGTGTATGGGGGATACAACCATCCCAGATCTGCAGATTTTGCTGCGAAGAAACAGAATCATTAGATCATTTGTTTTGGTACTGTCCGTATGTAGCTTGTTTTTGGTCGCAGGTCCAGGAATGGCTGAAGAATTGCAACATTTACCTAGAACTAACTCTGCAAATAGTTAGCTGGGTGATTTTGAAAAGTCCTAGTCAATCGCTCAATAATATAATAGTACTTTTAGGAAAAATGTTTCTTTATTTGACAATATGCAGAATCTATGTGAATAGAAAGGTTCAGAACGTTTATGAAACATCACAGAACAGTTGAAAAATGTATGGCAAATACAAATCAAAACTGGATGGTCTTCAGCGATAGATGGGAGGAGTTGAGGGTAGCTGAAGGATGGGATTAAAAACAAACAAAATGTAACTATTGTAAAATACGTTGTGTTCGTAAAATGTATATAGTATGTAAAGCTGGAAGTAGAAGCCTAAGTGTTGTCCATTAGTTTACTCCAATTAGGGTAGGGTTAGGGGAAAATAATAAAGGAAAATATATTTTAAAAATATACATAAACACACAGTGCATTCGGAAAGTATTCAGACCCCTTGACTTTTTCCACCTTTTTGTTAGGTTACAGCCTTATTCTAAAATGGATTAAGTAGTTTTTCTCATCATTCTACACCCAATACCCCTTAATGACAAAGTGAAAACAGAATCTTTTTTTTTTGTGCAAATGTATTACAAATAAAAAACACCTTATTTACATAATTATTCAGACCCTTTGCTGTGAGACAGAGCTGAGGTGCATCCTGTTTCCATTGATAATCCTTGATGATTGTAGTTCACATGTGGGGAATTCAATTGATTGGATGTGATTTGGAAAGGCGCACACCTGTCTATATAAGGTCCCACAGTTGACCGTGCATGTCAGAGCAAAAACCAAGCCATGAGGTCGAAGGAATTGTCCGTAGAGCTCAGAGACAGGATTGTGTCGAGGCATAGATCTGGGAAAGGGTACCAAAAAATGTCTGCAGCACTGAAGGTCCACAAGAACACAGTGGCCTCCATCATTCTTAAATGGAAGACGTTTGGAACCATCAGGACTCTTCCTAGAGCTGGCCGCCTGGCCAAACTGAGCAATCGGGGGACAAGGGCCTTGGTCAGGGAGGTGAACAAGAACCTGATGGTCACTCTGACAGAGCTCCAGAGTTCCTCTGTGGAGATGGGAGAACCTTCCAGAAGGACAACCATCTCTGCAGCACTCACGCCTTTATGGTAGAGTGGCCAGACGGAAGCCACTCTTCAGTAGAAGGCACATGACAGCCCGCTTGGAGTTTGCCAAAAGGCCCCTAAAGGACTCAGACCATGAGAAACAAGATTGAACTCTTTGGCCTGAATGCCAAGCGTCATGTCTGGAGGAAACCTGGCACCATCCCTATGGTGAAGCATGGTGGTGGCAGCATCATGCTGTGGGGATGTTTTTCAGTGGCAGGGACTGGGAGACTAGTCAGGATCAAGGGAAAGATGAACGGAGCAAAGTACAGAGAGATCCTTGATAACCTGGTCAGGACCTCAGACTGGGGCAAAGTTTCACCTTCCAACAGGACAACTTAGTCATTATGAGGTATTGTGTGTAGATTGATCAGGCAAAAAAAAATAATTTAATCCATGTTAGAATAAGGCTGTAACGTAACAAAATGTGGAAAAAGTCAAGGGGTCTGAATACTTTCCGAATGCACTGTGTGTGTATTTACCAAAAATATATGGGGGATTGGAAATTATGCAGACAATTACATTGATGGAAGCTGCAATAATAAAGCTGATCTACACCCCAACCACCCGCCCCCCACACAAAAATAAATAAAAAATGTAACTTGCAGCTGTAATCGCTGCCAAAGGTTATTCTAACATGTTTAATACTTATCTAATCAAGATACAGTGAGGGTAAAAATTATTTGATCCCCTGCTGATATTGTACGTTTGCCCACTGACAAAGAAATTATCAGTCTATCATTTTAATGGTAGGTTTATTTGAACAGTGAGAGACAATAACAACAAAAAAATCCAGAAAAACGCATGTCAAAAATTTTAAATTATTTGCATTTTAATGAGGGAAATAAGTCAAACTTTTTTTTTGTTGCCAAATGTTAGAATTTTTCTTCCACTTTGACGTTAGAGTATTTTGTGTAGATCGCTGACAAAAAATGACAAATCCATTTTAATCCCACTTTGTAACACCACAAAATGTGGAAAAAGTGAAGGGGTGTGAATACTTTCTAAAGGCACTGTAAATCAGATGCTAAGCAAGAACAACATCAACGGCAGACACTCCCTAGAAAAGGAAATGCCCAGAGTTTACACACCTAAAATCAGATGTTGATTTGAAAGCATGAACAAAGATCAAATTCAAGTTTCAAAGAACAGGAATTGCCCATCTGTGTATTAGACTCTGCATGTGTGATTGTCTTATTATTATTTTTTTGTCTTTAGGGGGTTAGGTATCCTATTTATTTTTTTGGTGTGTGTGTTTTCTAATGCCCTCCCTACATCTCCCCTTGCAGGGCAAATCGGATCAGAGGGGGAATTCTCCGCCTAATCAGAATTCAGGTACACCTGCTCAGTCAGGTAAGTGATAACTGGGGTGGCGGGGCAGTTGATCTAGCCAGGAAATCCACAATGAATCACGCTGTTTAATTTCACTAATTTGTTCATAGTGGCGTAAAACAACTGAAATCAGTCCGGATTTCCAGGCTAGTTGAGATCCAGTCCAGAAACGACCTCTAGCCCCTACCCCCCAGGATCTGAAAGGTTTCAATTGGGTATAAGCAATATGGCAAAAACAAAATCCACCTAACCTATCAGAGGGTGAGGTATTTGTTCTGTTTGAGTAGATTGACCCTTTGTACGCACAACTGTGGCAGAAGCATTCCTGCTTATCAAAGCAGAACCTGCATTGACTACCATGGGGAGTGGGCGTTTCTATTCCGCTTTGCACGGCGCTGCGGAATCGATGACCGAAGCAATAAGAAATGTAACGCTGCTCTGTTTTCTCTGCTTGGGATTCATTCTGCTTCATCCAGTCAACCAGAAAATGTTGCTTTAAATTGGCATGCTTTCATGTGCAGAATTGTTTTAGTCGAGATTGTGTGTACACAGAGTAAACTGGGTGACGGCCCACCACGTGAGCGGGTAAAACCGGTGAAGGCGGGGCACTGTTTTCTGGTATATTGTCAACAAAGAAGCCTGATGGATTGTTCAGAAACATGTATTAATTCCATAAAATGAAGGTACAAAATATTCTAACTAGATTAAAGCTATATATGCGTTTTGCATTGCTTATTCCCATCAAATCCTATCTGATATACACGCAGTGTCTTAAGGGGCCAGGGATGTCAATGTAAATGGTCATACTTGATTTTGAGCTTGTTTTTGCTAGTGCCAAATTAGGCCACCTACAAGTAACTGCCAAAATATAGGAAACCAACTGTGTCTTAACCCTTCTCCTACAATTTCTGTGGCCCCGTGGAAATCTAATTAACATAATAAAAACATCCCCATCAAAATCTCTGTTTAGGCTAGAGATGTTTTTTTTGCATGGGCTGCGTCTCAATCCACCACATCTGCTGATATCACCCTTCTGTATCTGCGGTGAAAGGTGGCAGAGCTAGAGCAGTGTTTGTCAGACTATAAGACGTCCCAAAAATCTGTCTTCTCACAAACGTCTAAAGCCTCCAAACGGTTTGGCCTACAAACTGTTATGACCCCTCTGTGGAAAGATGAGACTCTCATGAACATGATGGTTTTGCTCTACGACCCCCACAAGTGTCACGGGACTCGTCTGAAGGTGCCCGGTACCAGTTTAAAAAATGAATGGAAGTAGATATGGAGATAGTTTAGTGCCTAGAATAATGGGTTTAATACATGTGTACATTTTTTTGTTGAGTTTCCTGATCTTATATTTCTAAGATATAGTACAGACACTTCAGAACAAACTTCGTTTTTTATCATTTTTGAGGGACTATAGTGAATCGGTTATTCAAAGCATTTCTATGGGCAAATAGCAGAAATGCTAAATTCAATGTTTCATCAAATACATGCTTTTTTTTGGGGGATACCTTAAGGGGTCTTAAAAATAAAATAGCTAAATGATCCTTGGTATGACCACCATATGTTAGCGTAGTAGAACGTCAGTGTGCTATGCACATACCTGTCAGCGCACTAGCTCTGGTCCAGGGCGTTATGTTAACCACTGTTGCTTGTGCAGCTAGCTAGTACAACACTAGCTGCTCGCTGCCTGCAAGTACAATGCTCAGGGGTAGGCAACCCTGGCACTTAATGTTTTGGATTTAACCAACCTGGAAGACCAGGTGTGTTGAATTTAGGCAATCACTGAACTGAACAATTAGCTGAGTTGGTCAGGTGTGGTGCCTAGTTGGAACAAAATCCTGCAGTATCTGCGGCACTCCAAGAACAGGGATGCCTACCCCTGACCTAGCTTCTAATTCAAATTTAATTTCACTACCCGCTTTTGGTGGCGGTAATGCGCCATCCTCTCTGCCACAATTCGATAGCTTTTCTCATCTCCTATGTCTCACAATGTCTGTGGCTTGAGAACGTATCTGCTGGAGTCAGTCTCTGAAAATAATGGCCTGCCCAGCAGGCCCTAAGCATGATGGGATGTTAATTGCTTAATTAACTCAGGAACCACACCTGTGTGGAAGCACCTGATTTCAACATACTTTGTATCCCTCATTTACTCTAGTGTTTCCAATGTTTTGTAAGTTGCATGTGCACTATATGACCAAAAGTATGTGGACGCCTGCTCGTCGAACATCTCTTTCCAAAATCATGGGCATTATTATGGAGTTGGTCACCCCCTTTGCTGCTATAACAGCCTCCACTCTTCTGGGAAGGGTTTCCACTAGATGTTGGAACATTGCTGCGGGGATTTGCTTCCATTCAGCCACGAGTATTAGAGGTTGGGCACTGATGTTGGCCGATTAGGCCTTGCGCGCAGTCGGCGTTCCAATTCATCCCAAAGGTGTTCGATGGGGTTGAGGTCAGGCCTCTGTGCAGGCCAGTCAAGTTCTTCCACACCGATCTCGACAAAACATTTCTGTATGGACCTCGCTTTGAGCACAGGGGCATTGTCATGCTGAAACAGGAACGGGCCTTCCCTAAACTGTTGCCACAAAGTTGGAAGCACAGAATCATCTAAAATGTCATTGTATGATGTAGCGTTAAGTTTTCCCTTCACTGGAACTAAGGGGCCTAGCCCGAACCATGACAAACAGCCCCAGACCATTATTCCTCCTCCACCAAACTTTACAGTTTGCACTATGCATTCGGGCAGGTAGTGTTCTCCTGACATCCGCCAAACCCAGATTCGTCCATCGGACTGCCAGATGGTGAAGCGTGATTCATCACTCCAGAGAACGCGTTTACACTGCTCCAGAGTCCAATTCCTCTATATAGTGTATGTTTAACTGGAATTGTTAGTTTGTGTTTCTGAATGGCAGTCTCACATATCTTTATTAAATTGGTGCTACCGTAATCTAAGCATAGTAGAAGACTCATGCATTTTGTATGTTTGGTCCATGGCGGGCGGCCTTTCTATCCAACTGCTATCATGTCAAGTTGTGATGCTCATATCTACGCCATGTCCATTCAAAGGATTAAGAAAGTGGTTGACTGCTATATTTAATTTGATAAATGAACTGACACACAAAAAATGTTTCCCCCTCCTATGTGACTACACAGTTGATCATGACTGCTGTTCTTGGCGTTCTTGCCCATCCCTTCTCTTCCCACAGGTAACGGTGCCATGATACCATTTGTCAACAACAGTTCTTCCTCCACTCCTCGTGACCCTGTCTTTGGGGGTGTGGGGCGGACTAACGGCCGTTCCCCTGGCAACGCAGCTCCTCCAGTGTCCGTCGTGGGACCTCCCAGTGCCCCCAAGCCTTCGGTCACCATTAGCAATGGCAGGGACCCCCGGCGTGCCAAGAGATGAAACTGGCATTAGGGAAATCTTTCCCTTGGCCTCTTTTAACCCCCCTCCTCACTCTCTCCCTTCCTTCCATCTACCTTTTGAACAAGCCAGACTTGGCATTCGCAACATTATCACTGAAAAATACTAGTTTCTGATCTGCAGCTTATACCGGTTAACCTAGTCGACGTTGTCTTTCTCTAGATGAGCTAATGTTTGTTGGTTGTGCCATAAGTTGCATAAAGCACCTCACTGAATAATTGTGACCTAAACCTGAACACAGCAGCAGGACTTGCAAAGATCTGGACATAAAGTATGCTCACCCCCTTCCACCACCACCATAACTGCCAGTTCTGTGCCAGTGTTATTGACAACCCTCCCCGTGCCTCCCGCCCCCATTTGTTGGCTGAAACTATACACCCTACTTAACCACTAGATGCACTTTCTTCTCTTGAAGTTAAAGTGAAAGCATCAGTCATTTGATTCAGGATCTGATTACTGCTGATGGGGAAAGCCTTATGTAGGCAAAACAACTTTTTGGACCGAATTAACTAACAAACCCCCTTGAAAGGGTCACTACTCCCTTCTCAACCAAAACGTGATAGTTAGATTTTTAACTGTAGGTCGATTCGATTTAGTTGAATGGCTACAGTTCATGAGGACTAGTTTATTTGCTGTCCAGTTGTGAACAATACATTTGTTAGGTGGGAACACTTTTTAAGAGCTACTGGCAAGAGGTTAATCCAAATACATTTTACAATTTTACTGCCATTTTGTTTTCTGTTTAATCTCTGAGATACAGCTAGTGAAGTAGCTAATGAGTGCAATAAATAATATTGTCACATTTTTCACTAACTATGTTCCTCATTCTGTCAAACAACTTAAGACTGATGAATAATACATTAATCTATTTTATCACAATGAATGAATGTCCTAATGAACGACAGACAGGAGAACTGCATTTCTGATATTAGGTCAACTAGCCATAAGGCTAATATTCATAACTTCAATTGAGAGTCCTGAGGCTTATTCAGTAGGAGGAAATATTTACCTTGTTACATGTCTGCTCTATGGGCTCGTGTCCCAGACAGATTAAACGTAGTCCAGGACAAAAAATGTATACTCAATGGAGATTCTCAATTGAAAGAGTATTTTAGTCCAGGACTAGGCTTAATCTGTGTCCAGGAAACCGTCCCTATATCTATCTGAAACGCTTAAAACATTGAAACCTATTGAATAAGATCCAGGGATTACCCAACTGCCCTCAAGTAAAAATATCCAGAGACATTTTAAAGATGTATGTCATCATGCAATGTTTATTTATATACTACCATTATACAGCGCCCTCCAGTGTCCATCCACTCAGAAGATCTTGGCATGCCTTGCGCAGGAAACTCATTCCATGAAGGGCCAAGAGCCTGCTGGTTTTTAAGACCTAGACAACCAGGTGAGAGGAGTTCCTTACTAATCAGCGACCTTAATTGAAGTACAAGGGAAGAGCAAAAACCGCAGACACAGCCCTGCATGGAATGAGTTTGACACGTGCCTTATTGGGATCATTTAGGCTGCTGCTAAAAAACAAGTAGTGCATTTTTTGGAGTCATCTGTGCCATATTGTACCCTTCAATTAGATTGTTATGATCAAAGTTTATAGTCCATGCATTGCAATCTTTTATTTATTCCCCAAGTCCAATTGGGACTGAACTCTCATGTATTCATAGTGCAGTTTTGGCAATAGTCTGAACTAGATGAAGCCTTCATAACCCCTTCAGAAGGCCTACATATGATGTTCAAGTAATTTATAAGCAGATATATACAATACCAGTCAAGTTTAGACACACCTACTCATTCAAAGGTTTTCCTGAATTTTTTTACTATTTTCCACATTGTAGAATAATAGTGAAGACATCAAAACTATGAAATAACACATATGGAATCATGTAGTAACCAAAAAAGTGTTAAACATCTAAATATATTTTATATTTGAGATTATCCAAATAGCCACCCTTTGCCTTGATGACAGCTTTTCACACTCTTGGCATTCTCTCATCCAGCTTCACCTGGAATGCTTTTCCAACAGTCTTGAAGGAGTTCCCACATATGCTGAGCACTTGTTGGCTGCTTGTCCTTCACTCTGCGGTCCGACTCATCCCAAACCATCTCAATTTGGTTGAGGTCGGGGGATTGTGGAGGCCAGGTCATTTGATGCAGCACTCCATCACTCTCCTTCTAGGTAAAATAGCCCTTACACAGCCTGGGGGTGTGTTGGGTCATTGTCCTGTTGAAAAACAAATGATAGTCCCACTAAACCCAAACCAGATGGGATGGCGTATCGCTGCAGAATGCTGTGGTAGCCATGCTGGTTAAGTGTGCCTTGAATTCTAAATGAGTGGCGCAGTGGTCTAAGGCTGTGCACTAGAGATCCTGGTTCGAATCCAGGCTCTGTCGCAGCCGGCCGCGACCGGGAGACTCATGGGCGACGCACAATTGGCCCAGCGTTGTCCAGGGTAGGGGAGGGAATGGCCGGCAGGGATGTAGCTCAGTTGATAGAGCATGGCGTTTGCAACGCCAGGGTTGTGGGTTCGATTCCCACGGGGGGCCAGTATAAAAAAAATATGTATTCACTAACTGTAAGTCGCTCTGGATAAGAGCGTCAGCTAAATGACTAAAAAAATAAAATAAAAAAAAATATCAATCACAGACAGTGTCACCAGCAAAGCACCATAACACCGCCATGCGTTACGGTGGGAAATGCACATGTGGAGATCATCCGTTCACCCACACTGCGTCTCACAAAGACACAGTGGTTGTAACCAAAAATCTCCAATTTAGACTCCAGACCAAAGGACACATTTCCACCAGTCTAATGTCCATTGCTCGTGTTTGTTGGCCCAAGCAAGTCTCTTCTTCTTATTGGTGTCCTTTAGTAGTGGTTTCTTTGCAGCAATTCGACCATGAAGGCCTGATTCACACAGTCTCCTCTGAACAGTTGATGTTGAGATGTGTCTGTTACTTGAACTCTGTGAAGCATTTATTTGGGCTGCAATTTCTGAGGCTGGTAACTCTAATTAACTTATCCTCTGCAGCAGAGGTAACTCTGGGTCTTCCATTCCTGTGGCGGTCCTCATGAGAGCAAGTTTCATCATAGCGCTTGATGGTTTTTGCGACTGCACTTGAATAAACTTGAAAAGTTCTTGATATTTTCAGGATTGACTGACTTTCATGTCTTAAAGTAATGATGGACTGTCGTTTCTCTGCTTATTTGAGCTGTTCTTGCCATAATATGGACTTGGGCTTTTACCAAATAGGACTATCTTCTGTATACCCCCCTACCTTGTCACAACACAACTGATTGGCTCAAACGCATTAAGAAGGAAAGAAATTCCACAAATTAACTTTTAAAAAGGCACACCTGTTAATTGAAATGCATTCCAGGTGACTACCTCAGGAAGCTGGTTGAGAGAATGCCAAGAGTGTGCAAAGCTGTCATCAAGGCAAAGGGTGGCTATTTGAAGAATCTCAAATATAAAATAGATGTTGATTTGTTTAACACTTTTTTGGTTACTTCATGATTCCATATGTGTTATTTCATAGTTTTGATGTATTCACTATTATTCTACAATATCTAAAATGGTAAAAATAAAGAAAAACCCTTGAATGAGGAGGTGTCCAAACTTTTGACTGGTACTGTATGTAAAGGGTGGTATAAAAATGAATTCCAAATGTAAGTGTGTTTTGCTTCTAGCCACAATAACTTAAGCTCATTCATTTACATTTACATTTTAGTCATTTAGCAGACGCTCTTATCCAGAGCGACTTACAGGAGCAATTAGGGTTAAGTGCCTTGCTCAAGGGCACATTTACGTCATTTAGCAGACGGTCTTATCCAGAGCAACTCACAAATTGGTGCATTCACCCTATAGCCAGTGGGATAACCACTTTACAATTTTTTTTTGGGGGGGGGGGTAGAAGGATTACTTTATCCTATCCCAGGTATTCCTTAAAGAGGTGGGGTTTCAAATGTCTCCGGAAGGTGGTGAGTGACTCCGCTGTCCTGGCGTTGTGAGGGAGCTTGTTCCACCATTGGCGTGCCAGAGCAGCGAACAGTTTTGACTGGGCTGAGCGGGAACTATGCTTCCGCATTCAGAGATCTAGACAAATGTAATTTGGAAGAGACAAGTCCATATGACAGTTAATTTGGCCCATTTGAATATGTAAAGTTAATAAATCATTACAAATGGTTAATGTTGCCTTGGGTAACTGGCTGGTATAATTTTAGTGTGGGTATTTTCCTAGTGAGAAAAGATGGACTATGATGACCATAGGTACTTTCCTTATGTTATCCCAATAGTCTGTTTTGAAACTTATTTTGTAACCACGCATTGCAAGAAACCAAAGATACATTGCCTCATATCCTACGTTTCACAAAGCACCACTGACCACAGACAGGGAAGGCTTTGGCATGTGAGAGAATTCACTGCACTGACTGATAGTCAATGTGTCCCGTACTTTTCTGTGTGTAAACAGAAGTGCTGGTCATCAGTGGAGAAGTTCCTCAAAATAAACATTTGAGCTTCAGGCTATTCTGGATATTAAATAACAAACCATTTAAAAATAGTTATCAACTCTTTTGATATTTTAAAAATAGGGCTGGTTTCCCAGACCCAGATAAAGCCTATTCCTTTACCAAAAAGCACTTTAAATGAAGACTCGATTGAGCATTTTTGTTCACGACTAGGCTTAATCTGAGTCCAGGAAACTGGCCCATATAAAAATAAGCAATGTAATCCAGTGAGAGGGGTTACTCAGCTGTTGGGTGAGTGTATGTGAGCTTTATATTTTAAAATGTATTAAATATTTCCTAGACAAATTGAGGGTCGAATAAATGTACGCTCAGATGTACAGTGCACCAGAGAGGACAACAGCACAATATTTTTTGTAATATGTCTGTCTGGTATGTTATGAAATGTGCACCTAAAAGTGAGTGTGCATGTGTTTTTATGTATATACAGTGGCTTGCGAAA